ATATATTTGTGATTGATTTAACCATGCATGTTCTGTTATCAGAATATTGGGGAAAAAACACATCAGATTAAGTCAGGCATTAACTAGGCATGAGTAATATATTCTCTGCTGACATAATGCACTGTTAAAACACCTTCTTTCCTTTTTATTTCAATCTATACAAAACTGGCTTGAGAACCCAGCATTTTAAAACTACGCCAAGAACATTCCTGTGGTTGTACCAAGTTCCATAATCAAATGTTGAGGCAAATCGGTCAAGGGTTTTATGAATTAAGCTTGGACATTTAAACAAACAAACAGAGATTAATACTTTGTATATATTGATACTGAAAGCACTTGATCCAATAATGGTTTTATATTTTGAAGCAAGTAACTGGCAGGCTGGTTTCTGACTAGCTGGTGTTCTGATTTGGATGGCTTTGCTTTGCACGGCTGTACAGTGTACATAAACTGTACAGCAAATTGGAACTTATGATTTAGGGTGCGTGGAGGGTTACATGTATCCAGCCAGCCTTAATTTTTTTGAAAAAACCACGCTGGGTGCACTAGACGGGCTGGTACTAGTAAATGTCCAAGCAATATGATTATACAGACTGGTAATTCCTTGCGCCAGTTCGGAACTTCGGATCTTGCAACTTTTGGAACATTGTAGGGTTGAACTTTAGCTTTGAATTCAAAAACACTTTTTAATCAGAGAAAATCTTTTTGTTTGTAAGAATGAATTTAAATTTTAACAAATTAAATTACACGGTGAGATGATGGGCTTTGTGTTACATAACTATTATACTCAAAAAGTTCTGAAAATTATTCTGCTTAATTTTTTTTTACAGCTCTAGGTTTAACTTTGTTTATCCTAGCAACGATTTTTTATTTAGTTTAATTCTTTAATTATAAAAAACACAAGCAGATAAGATTCCAAACAAGTATTTAGAAAATAGATAATTGTTGACTTTAAAAGTCACTATAATAAAAAAAAGATATCTGAAATGGATATTTCTAACACTTATTTAAAAAAACGAAAGTTTTGAAATATTTGCATAAGACTGGGTAAAATTGGTTGGTTAAAAATGAACAAAGAAAACTATTGACGAACATCAGTTGAAACATATTTGTAGAGCTTCATGATGGTGGTGCAGATCATCAGGAACTGGAACAACAGGTTTCCGCTCACCCCAGGCTTTGGATAAGGAACTCTTGGAACAATATTGAGCTGGATGTAAGCATCCTCTGTTGATAGCTAGGTATCTGCATCATCACCATGAAGGAGCCAGGGTTGCTCCCTGAGACGGAGTTGTGATCATCTCCAGTGTTTCAATCAGACTGCCGGGCTGGGATGTGTAGAGGGGTGAGGGGGGAACGAAGGAGCGAGGGTGACATGTGGGCGCTTTATGGCGGAAATAGATACACACGTCTTGAGAATAGTCAAAGGCATCTGAGTCAGCAAAATCGTCTTCCTTATATTTTGAATTTGTGTTAACATTACCCCCTACTGGGGGTTAAATTAAAATGGGATTTTAATTTAACAATGAGTAAAACAAATTCAAAACTTCAAAATCCAACCAACCAAGATATATCCCGCCCAGATTTCCATATTTCAAAATGTTGACTTTAAAAGTCACTATAATAAAACAAAGATATCTGAAATGGATATTTCTAATATTTATTTTAAAAAACAAAAGTTTTGAAAAATTTGCATAAGACTGGGTAAAATTGGTTGGTTAAAAATGAACAAAGAAAACTATTGACGAACATCAGTTGGAACATATTTGTAGAGCTTCATGATGGTGGTGCAGATCATCAGGAACTGGAACAACAGGTTTCCGCTCACCCCAGGCTTTGGATAAGGAGGGGGAGAGATCGCGGTTTTATCATTTTCGAATATGAGGGAATGCGTCTCAATGTTCACATGATAATTTTGGAACTCTTGGAACAATATTGAGCTGGATGTAAGCATCGTCTGTTGATAGCTAGGTATCTGCATCATCACCATGAAGGAGCCAGAGTTGCTCCCTGAGACAGAGTTGTGATCATCTCCAGTGTTTCAATCTGACTGCCGGGCTGGGATGTTTAGAGGGGTGAGGGGGGAACGAAGGAGCGAGGGTGACATGTGGGCGCTTCATGGCGGAAATAGATACACAGGTCTTGAGAATAGTCAACGGCATCTGAGTTGGTAAAATCGTCTTCCTTATATTTCGAACTTGTGTTAAGTATAATGTTTTTTTTCAGTGCTTAGGGTTTGGATTCAGATCCATGGGGCAAAATATCAAATAAAATTTTTTTGCTCTCAAAATTCAAATCTGAACTTTTGTTAAAAAAAAAGATTATAAAAAAGTTTAGCAAAAATAAATGAAAACAAAGAAAAAATTTGAAAATTTGAAAATTCCTCCTAAGTTAAAAAAAATGTGTAAATTTTCATGACTTGGATCCGGATCAATTTTTTTCTAGCTAGGTTGATCTAGAACCTTAAATGAAATGGATCCTAAGCACTATTTTTAAATATAAGTTAAAAAAGATTTTAGTTATTAAACAAGTTTTTGTGAAGCTTTGTTAAATTCCATGAATTGGTTTATCCTTTGAACTTTATTTAATACATTATTAAAATGAATTTTAAAAAACCTTAAAGAAAAATCAAAGTGAATTTTTTCTAATGATAATCTTTCATATACTTACTAGGATATGCATATTTTTCTATAATATATTCTATCTTGTTGTTTATTCCAAATTATATATTATCCCCCCTGCACCATTCATTCATCTTCTCCCATGGGCAATAAACTATGTGTAAAGAAAATATGTCCGGGAAGAAAATATGTCCGCTGGAAAGGTTAAATATTTACACAAAAACTTGTATTTTCTTTTCTACAACTAACTTTGTCGGTTTATTACAGGATGTGTAAAAGTAAAGTTTAAAGTAATAGCTTAACCCTGTGTTTTGTGTGACGGATTAAGGAAACTATTATCTAATTAAAACAAGATTTTTGATTTAAAACAATCTTTAAGTTTTTAAGTGTTAAAACAACATTTACATTTTTTTTTGGATAAAATAAAAATGTTCTGAGATGAAATCAAAATATGAATATTATTTCAATTTATGGGAAATTACTGGTTTGCATTTATGACCTCATAGCTCCTCTAGTTTTGATTTTAAGCACAAGTAAAAATATGATAATTTATTAGAAATTCCTAACTTTTTCAATCTTGAGAAAGATGACCTAAAATTTTTTAACGTGATATTTCATATAATTCTCATTGTATTCATTACATGTATATATGTATTATATGTATTATATGTATTATATGTATATAACATGTTTGTATATATGTATATATGTAATACATATATCATATGTATTAAATGTATATATATATGTTTATATGCAATATATGTATTATATGTATTATACGTTTGTATATATGTTTAAATGTAATATATATTATATGTATTATACGTTTGTATATATGTACAGATGAATTATATGTAATGTTTGTATTATATATATTATTCATTTGTATATATGTATAAATATATAATCCTATAAAGGCTTTCTTGAGTTTTGAAACCAATATTCTGCATTAACTTTATGGCCTAGCATCCAATATAAGGAAACTTGTTAAGGACCCTTCTTGGTCCTGGTGTGAGCAGATATATTGACTTCAACGTTTTTCTTATATTTTATATTTTCTCATATTTCTGGTAAAAAGGGTTCAAAAATAGAACTACAAAAGTCAGGAATTTTAATCATCATTTTTAGTTCAACGCAAAAATTTGACTTACTTTCTCTTAGACTTCTTTAATAATTGTATGATGTACTTTTGAAAGTTTAATATTAAAAGTTTTACTTCTTTTTAATGCAGAAATTTTACAGAAGAAAATTATCTAATTACCATCCTTACAACTTCAACAACCAATAAGTAAATGTTTTTTCTTATGTAAAATGGAAAAATACCAAATATGTATATTCATTACTTTTTCTTTCACTAGCAAACATTATGCTAATCATTCATGGAATAATTCCTTGGTCTGATGAAAATCTGAATACTGCAAATACTAATGCTTTTAAAGTTTTGAAACTGCAGTAAAATTAATGGTTTTTCTTTTCCTGTCTTGTAAAGGTTTTATCGATAATGGTTTTTCAAAATGAGATACAACAGAAAAGTTATAAACCTGAAGGCAAGGCTACTTTGATTAAAAACTGTAATTGTTATTATTCATTGCAAAAATATTCAGAAAAAATCATTAAGGAAAGTTGCAAAAATTGGATATAAATTGTGAATTATTCTAAAAGAAATGTCAAAATTTTACATTTAGGTTTTAATTTTATTAAAGTATTCTTGAATATAAAGTAGAGGGATAACTGATTCATATTTTATTTCATTATTTCAATCTGAAGATTTCCTTTTAGTTTGACGGATCCAATACTTTCAATATCTCACATGATTTATAAAGAAGATTTCCCTATAGAAGGATAGTGAGATGAACTAAATCCAGTTTCTTTGCAATAAAGTGGACACATGTCTATGGTATAGACGTTTCTCCTCTTAAATGAGACTCAAGAATAATTTCAAGTGATCCCCCATGCAAAGGTGGCAATGATCATTCACAACAGTACCATGAAGTGCTTAGTCTGGTCAAGTATAATAAGATATTGATCTTTATAATTTTGAGAGCTGGTTATTTTCAATTGTGGTTTCTCATCAAAATTTACTACATTTCTACTGCAGGAAAACATATAGGATTTTTCAGAATTAAACACTTTTCAACACTTTTCTATTCTCCTGATTGGTTTCTCATCAAGATCATCTTCAGCAAGTTCTTCAGCTCTGCAGAGATCATGGCCTAACCATCAACCTAGACAAGTGTGTATTTTGCTGTCAACCTCTTGGAGTTTCTGGGCCATCATGTGTTCGCCTCTGGCTCTGCCCCTCTCCAGAAGCACTGCTCTGCCATCTCTCAGTTCCCTCGTCCAGTTGATCGACCTTCTCTTCAACAATTCTGAGGAATGGTCAATGTCTACAGGAAGTTTATATGTCAGGCTGCAAAGATTCTTCACCTTTTGACCTCAGCTTTGAAAGGATCTCCAAAGAATTTCTCCTGGGACTCTGCCATTGAACAGTCTTTCTCAGACCCCAAATTGGCTCTGCTCCAGATTAACAGGTTAGTTTGCCCTGTTCCCTCAGCTCCAATCTCCCGGGTCGTTGATACCTCAGAGTCCCTAGTTGGTGCAGTCCTCCGGCAAAGAATCTCTGCAGCTGGTTGTGCTCAGGCTCTGCTCTCCAAATGGGGTTCCAGGTTTGGAGTTCCGTCAGTCTTTACTGCAGATCGTGGAGCACAGTTCACCTTCTCCTTATTAAAGGAATTTTGCCTGCTCCTTGAAATCTCTCATACTAAGACAACCTTGTTCCATACCCAGAGTAATGGTCTGGTTAAAAGATTTCATCGTTCCCTGAAGAGTTCTCTCCGTTCCAAGCTGGCAGGTTTGGGCTGAATACATCATATACCCCTGGTTCTTTTGGGTTTGTGTTCTGCTTCAAAGGATGATCAAGCTTGTTCCTCTGCAGAAGCAGTTTATGGATCTCCTTTGATGCTCCATGGGCACGTTCCTGGTGGAACGTTCGTTCTTTCCCGAGAACAAACGGAACGATCAAGAACTATCCCATCGTTCCAAAAAAAAACGAACGCTTGGAACGCGTTCTTAAAAATATTGGAACGATTAGTAAAAGAACGGAACGGGAATTGCTTGAAAAGAACGGTTAAAATCGTTAACGCGTTCTTATTAT